AATCTCATGTTTTTGAACTTTTTTTTTGGAATAATTTAACTTAAAAAAAAAAAATTTCGTACAAAAATTGTTTAAAAGACAATTATATACAAAAAAATTATCTTATATTTTTTCATTCAAACAAATATTTTTCGAATTACATTACATTTAATATGAGTACTAAAATGTATATTCCATTTTTTTCATTTTACGATTACTTTTTATTATGTTATACTTAGATTAGACACAATGTTATAAATGCATATGTGCGTATGTGTGAGTTTATTTATTTATTGTATCATAGAAGTGTAGTGTATATTAATATACAAGCGATAGAGTAGGTATTTAATTTCGTGTTTTTTTTTTCCCACACCCGACATAATGTGGACCGCCCTGGAACTACCGCGAGGTACTGCTTGTGTATAAAAACAAAAATTTGTCTTTTATGACATTTTGAATTTAGGTTTTTTGTTATCATCTTATGAAATGAAAAAGACTATGTTATTTCAACAGTTTATAAATAAACATCAAATTTGTTGTTAAAAAATTGTATCAAGTTAAATTAAAAAGTTAATTAGTTAAATTGAAAAGTTAAAAAAAATTAACTTTTTAAATAATTAATGCCCACCTTTACAAGTATCTAACAAATATTTTGATTTTTGATCGAATTATGAGCTTTATTTAATGTCCTTAATTTTTAATAAGATATGATTTTGCTTTGGCCATGTCAATTTTTTAAAATGTTAATGTAAAAACATCACATTTAAAGATTTTTTTGAATAATTATTAAGTTTTTTCGCCTACCTTTTATTTTGAATAATAACTAGTAGGTTATTGTAAAGTATAATTATGAATACACCTAATATTTTTAAAGTCATATTATTTTTTTAAATATTGTTTAATTTACAAGTGGGACTAGTCTCATTGTAAACTGCTTCTAGAGTAATCCTTTTTACATAAATCATTTTGTGATCGACGAAGACCGGTACTTCTACCGGATTCAGTAACCTGCCTTTAAAAACAGCCTACAAGGCTTAACTTACCGTAATAGCATGAGGGCATGGGGTTTGAGGTAAAATACTTAAAATTCAACCTTGTAATAATGATTTTTTATTTTTTTACCCCTTTTTTAAATTTTGAGCCATCATGAATGGGCTTGAAATATGGAAATTTAGGCATTTTCCAAAATAACTAATCAGCTAATGTAATAAAAATATTTTATGATATACAAACATAAAATATCATAAACAATTATGTAAATTATAGGCATTTGATAGGGGCACAATCTACGAATCCTAATTTACTTTGTTAAATAATTGAAATAGTTAAAGTTCAATGAATGAATTATTTATAATTAACAATTATTGAATTGTTAACTTTTCAAACTGTTTAAAATTAATAATACACACACTCTATCGTTCAAATATTATTTATTTTATAATTATTTAAAAATTAATATATAATTAAATTTTGATAACTTATAAATATATATTACAGATCAATTTTTTTTTCATATTTTGTATAAGAATAATTCATAGAAACTTCTTTGTAGTTTGAAGAATATTGCATGAATGACTGAACCATTTTAAAATTAATACCCTTAAATATATTTTCGAAATACTCTAGAAAAATATTAATTCTTAGGAAATTATCATGCAATNGTCACATTATTTAACAAGAAATTGTACATTTGAGTATTACAATTTTTAATAATATTTGAATTTTTAATAGACATTGCATAGAATAGATGCTTTCTCATTAAATGCAAAGCTACGAATCTAAAAATGATTAAGATTTTTTCTTGATAAACTCCAATGTTAAAAATCCATTTATGAAAAAAAGTATAAATTTTGGCATTTTTATATGCATTATTAAAATCTTGAGATATAATTTTATATCTCTTTTCACTCTGTTCTCCAAAATGAACTATTATAGTTTTAAAAATATCTTCTTCTTTAATAATTTGGCAAAAAAAAATTTTCCTAAGAGATACCCAATTTTCTACTTCTTCATTGTTTAGTAACATATGATTACTATAATTTCTATTAAACATTAGCTGCACAACATTTTTTATTTTTAAAATCGTTTGTTCCTCGTGTAGTTCATTTTGATTTGTGAAACTGTATTTATTGTTTTCCCTACAATCTTCGTTTATACGAAATGATAAACCATTTCTTATATGATTTATAACTTTTAAATCATATTCTTGAAACCAAGTAATGTCATTTCTCAAAAATTTTTTTTGGTAAATTGCATACATATACATATTCCATAAAGGGTCTAAAGGTGCCTCTAGTTTTGATTTTATTATTACACATAGCATTTGTTGAATAACTAATTCGTTCAAAAATAAATTATCTATAATATCATTTTTACTCATATTTTCAGTATAACTTGTACTATAACCACCTTTAATTATTTTATTCATTATAACATATGTACTAGGATTACTTATATGGCTCATATATTCTAAAAGATTATATAAATTACCGCAATAAAGGTCGTAGTATATTATTTGTGATCTGTCCAGCAGATTAAATGACTTTTTTGACAGATTAAATAAAAGAATGTCAAAGCGATGGAGACATTTTACAGCTCGAACAACGAAAAGAAAAAATGGAAGAAAGTTGGCAAAACTTTCAGAAAATTTAGTCAGCGATCGAAGTGTCAGTAGACAACATCGAACCAGAGATCACGTATAGATGTGAGTTTGAAGATACTTATTTTCAAGCTATTGTGCCAGAATAATAGATAAGTACGTAAAGGAAAATAATGAAAAACAAAGTCTGAAAAATATGGTTCCACCCCTATTAATGTCTAACCTAAGTGGAGAGGGTTCAAATTGGAGAGTTAATGCAGTGCCCTTTAAAAAGTTACCACCGTTAGAGATCCCGGAGTTTAACGGAGAATATAAAAATTGGTCGACTTTTAAGGATCTTTTTGAAACTTTAATAAATTCGGATGAACAAATGCCGGATGTGCATAAATTCTTTTATTTAAAAAAAGCTTTAAATTCAGGTGCTGCTAGAGCCATTCAATCTTACGATATGACAGCAAAAAATTAACATTTAGCATGGAAGTATTTAAATGATCGGTACAATTATACGAAAATTATTGTACAAACTCATACCAAAGCAATCTATGACCTTGATTCTCTTACAAAAGAATCAGCTTCGCAACTACGTCGCTTTTTGGATTCATTAACAGGGAACATGAAAACTTTAGAGCTATTAGGTTATGATCCCCTGAATTGGGGACCAATGTTATTGTATATTATTACAACGAAATTAGATGTAAAATCGTTGGAAGCCTGGGAAACGGAAGCACCAAAAACTCAAGTAGCTGAAGTTGAGAAATTAATTGAATTTTTAGAAAAAAAATTTCAAATCCTCGAAGCTATTGAAAGTTCTAAAAAACAACTTGAACCAAGATTTAAAAAATTCAATGGAAAAGGACGTGAACAAGAGGTATTGTCACGTAAAGCAGTTATGCACGCTGCAACAATGAATTTATCTTGTTATATGTGTTCAGAAAAACACCCAATTTATAAGTGTGCAAAATTTTTAGCGTTGTCGATACCGGAAAGATACCAGCAGGCTGCCAGGAGTGGTGTTTGTGAGAACTGTCTTTCCCGACACGCTGAAAATAAATGCAAATTTAAAGGGTGTAAGAAATGTGGTAAATTTCATAATAATTTACTTCATATTGATAGTAAAAAGGATGTTGATGATACGCTTAATGTTGTGTAAACACACGCCGCGCAGAAAGCTGGAAAAAATGTGTTGTTATCCACAGTTGTAATAAAAATATTTGTAAAGACGGAAGAATCGGTTTACGCTCGTGCGTTATTGGACTTAGGTTCAATGTGTAATTTTATCAGCAACGATTTATCAAATAAATTAGGCCTGATATGCAAGCGAGTCAATTATTCAATAGAAGGTGTAAATGCGGCCTCGAGTCAAGCGTCTTATCTAGTAAAAACAATAATACAAACAACAAAAGGTTCATCTCAGTATCCGCTACAATTCTTAACTTTACCGAAAATTACAAATAAATTGCCCCTGGCACCGGTCGATATGACCGCCTGGAAAGTTCCAGAGGGCATAGATTTAGCCGACCCATCGTTTAACGTACCAAGTAAGATCGATATTTTGCTTGGTGCTGAAGTATTTTTTGAAGCTCTAAAAACTGGTCAAATTAAACCGTTAGAAAATGGTCCATTGATTAAAGAAACCGTGTTCGGGTGGATTGTCGCGGGTTCAGTTCCCGTGAGGAACTCAACACTATTGCGCTCTTTTCATGCTCTTAGAATGAGCTTAGAAAAGATAATAAGTTCCCCAATCACTACTGAAGAAAATGAGCGCGTCAAGCATTTTAATAAGACGGTAATTAGAGATGAGGAAGGTCGATTTGTGGTATGTTTACCTTTGCGAAAAAATTACAAGCAATTGGGAGACTCCCGAGCAACAGCGCTCAAACAATTTTTATCATATGAAAATAAATTGCTTAAAAATGAAAAGTTGAAATCAGATTACTCAAATTCTATGGATGAATATTTGCGATTGGGTCATATGGAAAGAGTAACAAATAATGTAAGTCCAAATATAAAACAATATTATATACCCCACCATGCGGTGTTACGTGAGTGCAAGTCGACTGCAAAGTTACGCGTAGTTTTTAATGCGAGTTGCGTTACTACTACGGGCTTAAGTTTGAACGATGTCCTGTTAAAAGGTCCAGTAATACAAGATGATTTGTTTTCTATCCTTACACATTTTCAAACTCATCAGTATGTACTGTCGGCGGACTGCGAAAAGATGTACCGCCAAATTTGGGTTAGCAAGGATCACCAAGATTTACAACGGATTCTGTGGAAATCACAACCAGATCAGCCCATTGAAGAATTTCGTCTAAAAACTGTTACTTATGGCACATCACCAGCAAGCTACTTAGCTACTGGTTGTTTACAATAATTAGCTTATGAATATCGTCAACAATATCCAGACGCACATAAAGCGTTAATGAATGATATGTATATGGACGACTACCTGGGAGGTGCCGAATCAATACAAGCGGCTATTATATTACGCGATTACATTATCGAGATAATGAAGTCAGCCGGTTTCAAACTACGTAAGTGGGCATCAAATTGTCCACAAATGTTAACTGGTATACTAAATGATGACAATGACCCACTAATCGTTTTAAATTTAGACGACAACGAAATAAAAACATTAGGATTGTGTTGGAATACTGACAATGGCAGCTATCAGTTTAAATTAAATGCGGAAGAGAAAACAAACATCAACAATACAACCAAAAGAGCGGTATTGTCGTCGATCGCTTCCATTTTCGATCCTCTCTGTCTTATTGGTACAATAATTATTAAAGCAAAATTAATTATGCAAAGGTTGTGGCAATTGAAATATTGTTGGAATGACTTATTGCCAAATAAATTACAGTAAAAATGGCTAAATTATAAGAACTCGTTGATACAAATCGAAAAAATTGAAATACCACGGTGTATAATTGGACGTAATCATGTGCAGTCAGTTCAAATTCATGGATTTGCCGACGCGCCTGTTCACGCATATGGATGCTGTGTGTACTTAAGGGTAACTGAAAACAATGATGTTTCATGTATTCGGCTAATCGCAGCGAAGTCAAGAGTAGCTCCTTTGAAAGTAATCTATTTGGCTCGATTAGAACTATGTGCGGCCGTTTTACTTTGCCATCTAGTAGAAAAAATCGTGAACAAATTAAATTTAAATGTAAGTAAACGTTATTTGTGGTTCGACTCGACTATAACGTTAGCTTGGATAAAATCGTCATCCAACAGTTGGAAAACATTTGTTGCATACCGTGTTGGAGAAATACAGTCATTAACGGCGAAAAATGAATGGAATCATGTTAGGTCTGCTGAGAACCCAGCTGACATAATATCAAGAGGCTGTAGACCTGATCAACTTTGTTATTCAAAAATTTGGTGGGAAGGCCCTGATTGGTTATGTTATGATGAGAAAAATTGGCCTTTGAGTACGACAGAAGCGCCGCCTCTACCTATGGAAGTACTTGAACAAATAAATTCGGCGATGATAACCGTTACTACAACAGGTATGGAAATTTTTAATTTAATACATCGTTATTCGTCATGGATGAAATTATTTCGTGTGACATGCTATTGTTTGCGGTGGTTTAATAAGACAATTCGCAAAAAACAATTTCCTTCAACCTCTATTGATGTATGGAAAATTTAAGAAACTCAAATTTTTTTAATTGAATTGGAACAGAAAAATTATTTTTCAGAGGAAATTAAAATATTACAAAGTAAAAAACTTTTGCAGCACGGCAAATTAGTTCGACTGCTTCCATTTCTAGATGAAAATAATGTGTTAAGAGTAGGCGGTCGGTTAAATAAGTCAACTCATATCAGTGATGAACAAAGAAATCCAATCGTACTACATCCTAAGTCATTTATTACTAATTTAATACTTCGGTACAAACATTAGCGTTTGCTTCACGCCGGTCCGCAAGCACTATTAGCTGCCGTGAGAGAAAAATTTTGGCCATTAAATGGACGAAATCTAGCCAGAAAAATTGTACACGAATTTGTGGTTTGTTTTCGTTCTAAGCCAACTGTATTTACACCAATTATGTCCGATCTACCAGAATCACGCGTAGAACCAACTAGAGCTTTTCAAGTGAGTGGTCTAGATTATTGTGGTCCTGTTTTAATAAAAGCAAGTTTAAATCGAAAAGCACCGAAATTAAAAGCTTATATTTGTGTTTTTGTTTGTTTTTCGACAAAAGCAGTACACGTCGAGTTAGTTAGCGATTTGACGTCTGAGCATATTTTAACAGCTCTGCGTCGATTTACTGGTAGATGGGGATTATGTACAACACTTTATTCAGACAACTCCACTACTTTTACTGGTGCAAATCGACAATTAATTGAATTGATCAAATTTTTAACTTCTCCAGAGAACATCGAAAAATAAGAAAATATACAGCGGAGCTTGGCATTCAATGGCATTTTATTCCGCCGAGAGCACCTCATTTCGGGGGCTTATGGGAAGCTGCCGTAAGAAATGAGCGTTGATTGTATGTAAATTTATTAAAGTCCTAAATATTTTTTTTTGTAAAACTTTGTCGTTAAACTGATTTCAAATTTTTTAAATGTATTTTTCGTATTATTTTACAGCTATCGTAAAGCGCCGGGCGGTATGTTACGTACTAAGTAGGGATATTATTAGTGTAAATATAGATAACGTTCAGTTCCTTTCGAACCGACTTCCTGTTTAATAAAGTAAATTTTTCAAATTAATTAGAGTGTTCGTGTTTTAAATTTTTAGTTTAGATACCCGCTCTAAAATCAACACTAACACTTTTAGAAAAATATATAATATATAAAAATAACTCTTCGTGCTATAACACTTACTATAAACAATACAGCTTATACATATTTCACTAACTTATAAAATAGGAAATGACTGGTTGACATATTTTGGACCAGTCATTTAGAAGTTATTAGCAGTATTCTAAAATATTGACTTGAGGTGAAGCGTTGATCCAAGAGTTATTATCATTTTTTATTTTATACGCTACCTAAATATGTATGTTAACATTAAAAAAATTAATTCGACATCTCTACAAGTTATGAAAGAGGATGCTAAAAAGTAAATGCAGGGCTTTCTGCAACAACCAGATAAATCCACTTTTTAAAATTTTTCAGGACAATGTAAATTTTGTTTAAAAACTTTTATTTATACTTAAATTGTGTCAACATAATGTATTTGAATTCTACACTCATTTTTACATACATATTTGAAAAAAAAATATTAATATTGAAATATTGTTAGTCAAAGTTAAAGGGAGCATAGATTTATCTGGTTGTTGCACTGAAAAACAATTTATTTTTATTAGTACTTAAATTAAGTCAATTTTATTCTTTAATGTATTTGGATTTTTAATGCTTTGATTATGTATAAATACTATATAACAACTTAAGTTTCTAAAAATGTCAGATAAATGGTTGTTGAAGCAAATTACAAAACAAGATAAGACCATTTCAGTAATAACTCCATCACTATTGATCGGATTTAACTAGTTGTTGCGTTTGAATTTCAAGAATAATTTCCTTTATACATTTCCGTAAAAAATTGAGTTTTGAAAAAAAGTTGATTTATGTGGTTGTTGCTGCAAGCTCTTCAACTATTAGCGGTTAAAAAAATATGTAATTAAAAAAACCCAGCACAGGGGGTCGCAGCACAATGATGACGTGGCATAGTTAGATCTAGTATAATGACAAATTGGTGGATTATTCTTAATCCTGATTAAGATAAAGTATGTCAAATGAAAAACGGATTATGAAAAGATATTATATTTCATAAAAAATTATTGTTAACAACATTTCAGTTGTTACACAAACATTTTTATAGTATAGAATATTTTTTTCCGTTAACTCTGTTGTGAAGTTTGTCGTTTTACTTAAATCTTAAGGGGGTTTCTGTAATGTGACAAAACATAACCCTCTTGTTTTTTTTTGTTGAAACTAGGAATAATCTTATAATATTTTGCTATGCGTATGGGCGTGCGACGTATACCCGACCGTGTAATCAAAAAACTGTACTGTTGTCGTCATCGTGAACGCTATACACACAAAATTAACTATGTCTATCTTTCCCATATGACCACCACTGTCAATACAGTAAAATATATACAAACATTTTTATCTTCTATGATATCGAGCAAATTGTAAGGTCGATACATATGACAGATTAAAAATTATTTGTATGTGAGGTAATTTATATTTTTACGTTACAGTTTTATTTTTTAAATATCTATTGATTGTATTAAAACTTGAAATTCGTATGAATTTAAGTAAACTTTATCATTTTTCAATACTATTTTTATTCCTGTTTACAAAAAATAAAATATGATTTAGAAAACATTTACGTCAACACACACAATACAGACAACGCATTTAGGTTAAAATTATAATTTCAATAACGAGCTAAAACGATAATATATAATATATAATAAAACAAATTAAACTAAAAATGTAATAGTAAAATTTTGTTTGGGATTTAATTATAAAATATGATTAAAATTATTTATTAAATTTAAATTCCCACGACTGGTGTATTTGCCAAATATTTGTCACTTATGTATACTTGTCAAGCCGTCGGAACACTGTACTTGTACAATTATTGGACACTTGTCAGTTTCCCGCGGATTGTCAGCGAATGTGACACAAGTTAGAGGAATTAATGGCTTGACAAGTTTACACTTGTAGGTCACTAGTGCACACTTGTGTACTTGTCAAGTACTTGGCCAATATTTGATTTGAGGGTGGCTATCGATAACATAATTTTTTCTTCCCCACCCACCTATATTTGTACAGTATAGCGGTGGTTCATATTGGCCTAATTAGTTAATTAAATTTAATAGAGAGGTAAAACTATTTTATAGTATAATTGTAATTATAATTTAAGTTAAGGTTGATTGTATAATGTATTAATTATATAAGCTATTAATTTATATTACTATTAATATTAAGTATAAAGTAAATATTATTGGATAATTTAATATTTTATTAAATGTTTATACTTGTAAAATTCTGTTTTATTTTTGCAAGTAAAAAATTATATACGGTATTATAATATGGTGCGTAGGTGCAACACACTGTTAGTTCTACTCTGTCGTGTTTTTTGTCCTTTAATTTTTAGGGAAACGAACCTCCTCAAATTTGCTTCAATTGCTATAGTTGTTGGATTACGAAAACAAGATTAATACAGTTTAGTACTGAAAAATATT